CTACAATCTCACTTCAAAATATATCTTAAATTTTTTTGGTCAGTGTTTTAGCCACAAGATCATTCTTAGATGTAAGGTAGGCAAGGGAATTTGTATTTAACTGAGTACATTGTCCTGAATAAAACTGGTTTTCTTAAGTAGAAGAGTGGGAACATGGATTCCCTATAGGCAAAAAAAAAAAAAAAAAATTGAAATGAATCTTTAAGAAAATGTCCACAAGGGAATACAGTGACTGTTCTTACCACTGAAAGAGTTTGTTCATAGCTAAATCCTTAGTGCCTTAGCCTTTTAGCCCTTGTTAATTTTTTGTATGTGTTTGGCATAATACTTGCCACAGAAATCTCTACTTTGGGACTGGGGATGTAGCTTAGCAGTAGAGTACTACAAAAGAAAGAAAAATACTGTAGTTTCATAATTTGATACACTAAATACTTTCTGCTATATTTACTGTATTTTGATAGTATAAATATGGTACCTTCTATTTATTTTTTTAGTGTCTTCCAGAATTAAGCATTATTTCCTATCAGACTTTTATGCTTATAGCTCATAGACACTGTCCTAATGGTTCAGTTTAAATATTAATGCTAAATGTTAAACTAGGATTAGTTTTTATAGTATGCATTTTATGGCCAGGTATTGTGGTACCCACTTATAATCTAGCACTAGGGAGGCTGAGGTTGGAGGATCACTGTGAGTTTAGACCACCCTAGGCTGCATCATGAGTTCAAGACCAGCTTGAGCTATGGTAAAGACCCTGTCTCAAAAAAAAATTTTTTTGTTCATGTTGTCCTACTGTTTTGGAGTTTGGTTTTTGTGGAACTAGGGACTGAATCTAGAGCCTTGCACATGATCACTGAGCTATGTTCCCAGTCTCTTTTACTATCCATTTTAAATTGTTAGTTTTGAACTTTTTGTAACAGTAAGATATAAAGTGGTACATGCTTGTTTGTAAAGGCATTCAAGGAGCATTTTAAAAATAAAGGTATTTTGAATTTCCACGTCTGTAGAACCTATGGTTGTACAGTGTTCTCTGCAAAACCTGGAGATGCAGTGATAAGTAGGAAGAGGCTGTCATCTGGTGTCATTCCAGCAGTCAGTTACACAGCTGTCCCTGTAACTTACTCAGAAGTGTGTCTGTATTCCATTGGGTTAGGCAGAAATTGCCTAGGAATTTGAAATAATGAAGTTTATTATTCAGCTGAACATTATATATATTTATATATATGAACATTCATATTTTTATGAAAAGCTACTGATTAGTTCTCTATCTAAAGGAACAAAGAGATTAAAGTCTAGAATTTGTTGAAAGTTTGGATTTCTAGATTAAAGTCTAGAAGTCTCCATATTTTTATATTTAAAGGAGGAATGGCTGAAGAAACCTAATTCCCAGTCTTAGTATAAGTGGTTTGAAATGCTTTACTATTAAAGGGAAGTCACATAAAGCTGATTAGCCAAAAACATGGGTTATTTTGGTTTACACAAGCTTGGAGTTCACTCTAAGAAATATATCTCAGTCTGAACACTGACTATCTTTCTAGTGTGTGGCTTCTTTTAGACTTAATATGTGCTTGATTGGCTGGCATTACAAGTGTAATCAGAGTAGAGGCAGAAAGTAATGAGGGCATAAAATATATATGGGAGTGGCCGTAGGAATGAAAGGAGGGAGAAGGGTAAGACACAAAACGGAGATTGAGTAAAGAGGATTGAACATGCGAGAGTGGAGGGCAAGAGAGCCAGCCATGGAGCCAGGTGTGGTGGTGCACGCCTGTAATCCAAGCACTTGGGAAGCTGAGGCAGGAGGATCACTGAGTTCAAGACCAGCCTGGACTATGTAGTGAGTTCCAGGTCAGTCTCAACTACATGGTGAGACCCTGTCTCAAAAAACAAAAAACAAAAAACAACAACAAAAAAAAGTGAGAGCCAACCATGCCTTTTATAACCAGGATGTTAAGGAACTGAATAAATATAAGAAGGGTTGGAAGAGATTCAGTTTTAGACATGTTAATTTTTAGACACAAGAAGACCATCTATCAAATGTTCTCAAAAGAGCATATTGCTTATGTGCACTAACTATATATATATATATTTTTTTTTTTAACTTTATTTTATATCTTGGTACCATGGATCAAACTCGGGACCTTGTGCTTGTGAAGCAGGTCGTGGTGGCACCACTGAACTAAATCCCCAGCCTTTCAAAAGAGCATGTTAAGATCGTCCACTGTAACCTTTTAAAAAAATCTTTAGGCATGGGACTATGACCACTCTTTTTCTAACTGCCAGGTATTGTGCTTCACCAATATTCTGACTTGAACTTTTATGAGACATGTAAGAATTTTGGAAGGAGTCATTTTTTAAAACATATATGCCACAGTTCCTCAGAAGTTGTGAATTTTGAAGTTAGAGTATAATTTGGAGAGGGAAGAGATACACATATGATTCAGATAAATATAAATTCATAACTCCTCTCAAGCCAAATTAGAAAATTATTAATATTAGTAGAAAATCTAATCATCAATTTGAAGTAGAGTTTGTGCTTCAATGGCAGATTTGTAGTTACTGCTGCAGAAGAGAAGATCTGGTACAGTTGGACCACCATTTACTGGATGGGTAAAGAATGTTAGGATTGAGCCAGGGATTTAGCTCAGTGGTGCCGCTGCCTGCCTCATAAGCACAAGATCCCCAGTTTGATCCCAGGTACTAAAAAAAAAAAGAATGGTAGGATTAAGGGCCAGAAGAGAAAGAACTTCATGGCCTGGGAGGAAGTATCAGTCAGTGATGTTACAAGCCAGAAATCACACGAGGATTACAAAGAGGGAACTGAAAGATCCCTAAAGCTGAGCATCATGGCACACAACTGTAATCCCAACACTTGGGAGACTGCAACAGGAGGATGGATTGTCATGAGTTCAAGGCCAGCCTAAACTGCACAACAAGAGCTTCTCTTAAAAAACCAAACATGAACAGGAAGGATGAGCTCGCAGAGAAAACGTGTGTGGACTATTGCATGCAGTTCAACAGTGATGGAGAGAGAGGAGACTGGTACCTGGGAGCTACAGCAAGGACCCCCACCCCTGGGAGGAAACTTGAGCATTTTGCAAACTCAGTAAAGGAGTGCAGGTTTTGTGAGTGGTCCATTATTCCCTGTCTACACCTGTCACCTTGCCTCTTGCTGCTTGTTTTCTCCAGTTCTCTGCTTTAGCCACCCCAGGGCCTCACTCCTCAGCCTGCTGGCTATGGGCTCTCCTTTCAGCATTTCCCATGCTCTCAGTGCCTGGGCTCCTCACATCCCTCCGAGGAGTTGCCCCACAGCCTGTTGCTAAAAAGGTGGTACCCACCTTGTTAGAAATGCAGAATTCTTAATCCCAGCACTCGGGAGGCTGAGACAGGAGGATTGCCGTGAGTTCGAGACCATCCTAGGCAACATAGTGAGCTCCAGGTCAGTCTCAACGACATAGTGAGACCCTGTCTCAAAAAACAAACAAACAAAAAACAGCAACAACAAAAAAAGAAATGCAGAATTGGGGCTCTACGAAAGCAGAAATCCCTAGATGATTAATATTAATTTGAAATTCAGTTTAAGTCTGTCATCAGGATCATTAGTCTCTGGAGAGCAGCAGCAGTGTGGGCTTTTCTCCTGTGCCTTGCAAGGTATCTTGTTAAGTACCGGCCAGCAATGAAGTTTCTGTTTAATCCACATGTTTAATGAATACTGACTGAACGGCAAGTACTGTTCTAGGTAGAGGACTCATTGATGGTACATGCTATGGAAAAGGACAGTCAAACATGTAAACAAATAAGAATGTCAGATACTAGTAGGAAGAAAATAAAACAGTGTGATGGGCTACAAGGTTACAGGAAGAGCCCATAGGGGACTTATTTAAAATACATTAGTTTTAGGCCATGGAATTGAGCTGAGACATGAATACCAAAAAGAGCCAGCTTGTCTTTGCAAATAGAAAAAAAATACACGTGCAGAAATAATTCTGGTATGAAAAAACCAAGGCAAGATGTTGTGAGATGAAAGTGGCAAATGAGCTAAATTGTGTTGCTGTAGACCCACTGGCCTTTAACAAATACTTCATAACAATATCCTGCACTGAAAGTCACAGCTAATAAAGCTACACACAGTGCTTTATCTGCAGTATAAGGAAATAAGAGGAATGTGAATTGTAACAAATAAAACCATTTCAGAATGCAAAGTGCTTTTATACATATTCCAAACTCCGAAAAGTATTTTAATTCCCATTTTATAAGTTAGGATGATGAAGCAGAGAGACAATAAAAATGTCAGACTGCTGTGGGCTTAAATCCAACTCTGCCACTTAAAGTTGTGTGACCTCTTCGCCCTGTAAAAACAGGAATTTATAATAGTACCTACCTTCTAACTTTGTGACAAGAATAAGTTAGTTTATATTTACATATTTCTTAGAACAATGTGTGGCATACAGGAAGAACTATATGAATACTTACTAACTAAATAAAATAAGCATAGCTCATAGGGGTGAAGGTTGGTATTCCAACTGAGGTTTGCTAACTCCAGCCTCTCCCAGTGTGTAGATGAAGTACCATGTCACGTCGCTGTACATGATATTTGTATGGTATTTTTATCCTCATGGAGATCCTTCTGCCTTAGACCCTTAGACTCCCGTGTGCTGGTGAATCAGCACACATTTTTTTGTAGGTATTAAAAATTTGATATGCTGGGCATGGCAGCCCACACCAGTAATCCCAGCACTCGGGAGGCTGAGGCAGGAGGGTGGTTGTGAGTTCAGTAGAAAAACACTTTTTATGCTTTAATTCACAAGGTAATTAAATTACTCAGTTATCTATGTGTCACTCATTGCTGAATCATACTGAAAATTGGAGGTTATTTATAGTTAATGTATGATCACTGCATTGAAATACCATCTGTCTTAGGTGTACATTTTCCTATTCGTTATCATATGTAAAGTCAATAATAGATTATTAAGTTTTTAATGAACATTCTTATTTCATTTTAGATTTTATGTTTACAATAAAAAGCAACGCCTTGTCAACACTCCTTATGTGGATAACTCCTATAAATGGGCTGGTGGTGGATTTCTGTCTACAGTGGGTGACCTTCTGAAATTTGGAAATGCAATGTTGTACAGTTACCAAGTTGGGCTGTTTAAGAACTCAAATGAAAATTTTTTACCTGGATATCTCAAACCGGAAACAATGGTTATGATGTGGACACCTGTCCCTAACACAGAGATGTCTTGGGATAAAGACGGTAAATATGCAATGGCATGGGGTGTGGTAGAAAAGAAGCAGACATACGGCTCTTGTAGGAAGCAGCGGCATTATGCCTCCCATACTGGAGGTGCAGTGGGTGCCAGTAGTGTCCTGCTGGTCCTTCCTGAAGAAGTGGATACAGAGACCGTAAATAACAAGGTTCCCCCAAGAGGAATAATTGTTTCTATCATCTGTAACATGCAATCTGTTGGCCTCAATAGCACTGCTTTAAAGATTGCCCTGGAATTTGATAAAGACAGGTCAGACTGATCTCTTAACATCACAGGTGCAAAATAAACATTTTGAAATATTAAAGTTCCAGTACTGGGGATTTGGCTCAGTGGTTCCGTTGTCTGCTTCGCAAGTGCTAGCACCTGAGTTTGATCCCTGGCACCAAAAAAAAAAAAAAAAAGAAAGAGAAATATTAAATTTCCAAATACATGAGCTTTTTAAGAATAAATTTGTAATAGAGTACAAGTACAATGAATGCAGAAATTATGTACCTCTAATTGCTTAATTTTGTAGCTGTCTTTTATTGTAGAATTAGTTCTTTACACTCAGGGAAGTAGCTATTGTTTCTACTTTTTGGAAAAAATGTTAATTCTTGAAATAAAATATTCTGATAAAAACATGTACTTTTTGGATGTGTAATAGAGAAAAATCTCATTCAACAGGAACCTTCACATATTGCCCTTTTAACATAACAGTAGATGCAAGATTATGAGAAATGGCTGGGCCTGGTGGTGCATGCCTAGCACTGAGGAAGGCTGAGGTAGGAGGATTGCAAGTTCAAGTCCTCTCTTGGAAATTTAGCAAGACCCTGTCTCAAAAAGTACAAAGAGTTGGGAAGTAGCTCAGTGGTAGAAATGCCCCTGAGCTCAATCCTCATTACCACACACATTGTGAGAAATTATATTTTAGTTATCTCTTGCAGCTTAAATGAACAAACACTTATCACATCCCAGTTTCTGAAGTTCAGGAACTGAGGAGTAATATATAGTTGGGTGCATGTGGGGCAGAGTCTCAGAAGCTTGCAGACAAGGTGCTGCGTGGTCTGAAGGGCTCTCTGGAGTTGGCGGAAGTGCTTCCAAGATTGGCTCACTCATGTGCCTAGAGTCTGTCTGTCCCATGGCTGATGTGTGGCAAGAAGCCTCAGTTTGTCATTGCATGGGCCTCTCTGAAGGGCTGCTTGAGTATCTTTTTTTGTTTTGTTTTGTTTGGTACCAGGGGTAAAACTCAGGACCTTACGCTTGCGAGGCAGGTGGTGGAACCACTGAGCTAAATCCCTGGCCCTTTGCTTGAGTATCTTAATGAATGTTGGGACAGTTATTTTCCCTCAGAGAGAGTGACAGAGGACAGCACATGAGCAAGTGCAAGTATACTGGGCAGAAGTAAGTTATTTTATAAGCTAGCCTCAGAAGTCACATACTTTTAACATTTGCAATATTCAGTAGGTCACGTGGGACCTGATAGAATGTTGGAGGGCTCACCCTCTTGGGCTAGTTCTGGTCATGTTCCTTACATCCAGTAATTTAAGATCTATGAACTAAAGACAAGTTATTTGCTCCCCACAGTTACAAAATACAATGGGCCAACAGATGTAGGATAATTTCTCTAGATCCTCCTGTCAAAGGTGCAGAAATGGAAGACCTGAGAGTTCATAGCAACTCTAAAATCCAGTGAGACAAGTTGGCAGCTCCTTGATTAGTACTCAAGGCTTGGGAAGAATTCTTGGCTCTTGGCTATGTTCTCTGGACTCTTGGCTCTGCCCTCTGAGTTATTCATTGTTCATGAAAGGTAGCATGTGTTTCCAGTTGAGTGGTATTTCTCAGCCCGTTTCCTGTCTGTAGAAATCTGGGGGTGCAAAGGCCTCTTTGTACTTCGTCCTTTTGGTCTAATTACACTGTTGGCAGTGTTTCTGCCAACATAGTTTTAAAAAACGTGGATATCCTAAAAATCTCATTGATGTACATGCAAGTGAACAAAAACTATATGCCCAAACCCCCTTCAAAATGAACCTCTCTCCAATTTGAGATTGAGACCAGGTTTTATGTTTGTCTTGAAGCCATTTGTTTTTTTAAATTTTTTTGGTTTTTTGAGACAGGGTCTCACTATGTAGTTGAGACTGACCTGGAAGTCACTATGTAGCTCAGGCTAGTCTCGAACTCACTGAGAACCTCCTGCCTCAGTCTCCCGAGTGTTGGGATTACAGGCATGCGCCACCACGCCTGACAAAGCCTTTTTTAAATTTTAACATCAATTTGTCATCAGAAGATCTTAGAATTTTTTAAAGCAATTATTGATTCCTCTTTTCATAGTTCTTCCTGTATCTTATTCTTTCTTGCATGTTAGTGTAAGAAGCAAGAAGAATCCAGGAGGCACATTTAGCACTAGGCCTGGAAATCCCCTCTGGGTCACCCCAGTTCTTGAGGCACATTTTCTACTTTCTGTGCTGTAAGCAATATTGCTGCTAAACTTTCTGCCACTACTAACACAAATCCCCTTTCCTCCAGTTTCCCAGGATTTTCCTTAGTTTCCTTAAATCCACATGCATAGCATCCTGAAAGACCATCCAACTTCATAAATGTTTTTCTTCTGGGCATCTCAGGCTTTTGCCAATACTCTTCCAATTTCCATCCACTGCTCTTTTCCAGATCCATGTATATCTCATATAATTCACAGTTCACTTACAATGAGTAACCCTTTAAACTTAAAAGCATACAAGAGTTTTGTAGTATATTCACAAGATTTTAAACTCATTACCATTATCTAAATTCAGAATATTTTCACTCCAAAAAAGAACTTTGTGCCCATTAGTATTTGCTCCCTATTTTTTCTTTCCAGCCTCTGACAACCAAACAACTAACTTTCTATTGCTTTAGATTTCCCTATTTTGGATATTTTGTGCAAATGGAATCATGCAATATGTGGTCTTTTGTGTCTGAGCATTTCCCTTTTACATTGTATATTGCCTACTGCTGCATTAAGAAATTACTCCAAGGGCCAGGGATTTAGTTCAGTGGTTTGGTGGCCTGCCTTGCAAGCCCAAGGACCCGAGTTCAATCCCTGGTACCAAACAAAAAAAAAAAAAGAAAGAAAGAAATTACTCCAAACGTTATCTCACAGTCTATATGTTTCGGACATTTAGAAGCAAGTTAATTGGATTGTTCTAGCTCAGAGTTTCTTGTAAGGTTACAGACGAGATGTCAGAAGGGGCTTCATTTATCTGAAGATTTAGTGGACTGGAGCATCTGATTAGATGATGACTCACTCATGCCAGAGGCCTCTGTTGTTGACGGTTTTTGGCAAGAGATACCGGTTTCCCACCACACTGGCCTCTCCATAGGTCAGCTTGATTGTGGTAATGGCGTCCCTCGGAGTGAATGATTGGAAGAGAGAACTAAGCAAAAGCTACACACTCTTTATAAAATCTATCCTTTGGAAGTCACATGCCATCACATATGTCAAATTCTATTGGTCATAGAGACCCACCCTGATTCATTGTGAGAAAGGACTACAAAAGCTTGAATACTAAAAGCTTGGACCTCTTTCGCACCACCTTGGAGACCTGGCTCTGTAGATGGTTTATTATGGTGTTGACATTAGATATTTTGTTGTAGCAGCCATAGGTGATATATACTAGAGATTGTTAGTGCACCCCTGAAGTTAGGAAAAGTTAAGAAATCAAAGCTTTTAGGGCTGGGGATTCAGCTCAGTGGTGCCACCGTCTGCCTTGCAAGCGCAAGGACCCCAGTTCAATTCCCAAGACAAAAAAAAAAAAAACACAAAGCTTTTATTTACTGTAATAAGAGGATTTTTTCTGCAGTTCTGTGCTCTAAATCTGTTTCTTCACTTTCCAAATTATAAAAGTAAAGGGTATCTCTGGTTGATTGAATAGTAAAGAAAGCAGCCCCGTAAAGCAGATCCATTTCATCCCTGTTTCTTTCTGGCTTCTCTTGGTCTCTAAGTCATATATTCATGTTTTTCATATTTTCAGTCCATGCTCTCTTTGATAGATATAAAAATGTCATGTCTTCCTTTAATATTATTTTAAAATTTAAATATGCATTGGATATTAAGATTAAAAGAAATCACATTAGGGCTGGGGACTTGGCTCAGTGGTTCCACTGCCTGCCTCACAAGTGCAAGGACCTGAGTTGATCCCTGGTACCAAAAATTTTTTTAGAAAAAGCAAATCACATTAGTATTTTTTTGTTTGTCATGCAAAAATGATACAGCTTTTTAATTCGATCGTGTGATAGCAATGTAAGTGAGTGTTTGAGCCTTTGCACACAGACCACAGACTGAAAGACCAGATGCCTGGGGCCACCAAAGAGCTGCTACTTATTTTTGTTTTTTGGTACCGGGGACCGAACTTGGGACCTTGCACTTGTGAGGCAGGTGGCAGAACCACTGAGCTAAATCCACTGTCCTAAAGAGACACTATTTAAATGGGGAGAGAAGGAGGAAGGAAGAGAATTGTGTGGTCATCAGGGAGAAGTGCAGTGTGGCTGAGCCAAAGGTTCAGGAGGATCCACAGAATGTAAAGAACCCTGTGAATTTAGACTAAATTTTGTTAAGATTTTTTAGGTTTCTTGTTGAAGCTCTGGGAAATAACTTTATCAGGAAATGAGCTAACACAAGCAACGAGGGTTCACAGGCGCCCCCCCCATTAAGAATTTGTCTTTTTATTGTATCTTCTTTTCTTACCTAATTCTGTCAGAAACAGGTTTTTTGTTTGTTTGTTTGTTTTGTTTTTAATACGGGGATCGAACTTAGGTCCTTGTGCTTGCGAGGCAGGTAGTGCAACCACTGAGCTAAATCCCTGGCCCCAGAAACAGTATTGATAAAGTTCCATATACCCCCAAAGTGGTATCTCTCAGGGATGACTGACCCTTAATATTTGGGCAAAGAACAACTCACATTTCTTGTGTTTTGGGGGTATTTTTTCTTTCATTGTTCTTGTTTTTTGTCATCAAAACCCACAGCCTGTTCAGATGCTCCTTAGCTGCAATTGATTTGCTTTACTTTTCTTGTGTCAAGCTGATCTTTTGTTTTATAAAAGTTTATATGTGTAAAAGAGTTATATGACAAATATCTATATTCCCAATGTCTTTGTTACCCCACTGTAGTACTAGGGATTGAACCCAGAGCCTTTTTTTTTTTTTTTTTTTTTTTTTTTTTTTTTTTTTTTGGCACTGGGGATCAGTCTTGGGTCCTTGTGCTTGAGAGGCAGGCAGAAGAAACACTGAGCTAAATCCCTGTCCCAGAACCCAGAGTCTTTTAAAACTTTTGGTGGTTGTTTTGGTTTTTTGAGACAGGATCTCAGTAAGTTGCTCAGGCTGAGCTTGAAC